TATATATATATATATATATATTAATTGATCCTCTTATACATGGGTCATGGACACTCCAAGGTATTATAATCGATGCATGAGAATTTAAATTGGATTATTCGTTGTAATTTTAATGTAATAAAAAAGAAAAATATAACTGGAGCCAACTGGATGGGTTAGGTTAGGTTTTATATAAATATGATGATTTGATATTCCTTATATATCACATGATATGATGTATTATGAATGATATGTTATGTGATCGATGAATTAAAGAAGAGAGAGACATTGAACATAAAAAAATCATAGGTTAGGTTTTATATATATGGGCGAGACTCTCCTTTGCTTTTGCTCTCTCTTCATCACTGATTCCCTTAGCTTACGTTCTGTCTCCATTTTCTTCTCTCTCTCTCTCTCTCAAACTCGTTTGAGATGAGAACAAGAACAAATGGGTTCAGATCGAGAGTTATGACTAAATTTGTTTCAGTCACAAACACTGATCTTCTTTGTTCTTTCATATTTCTCTGATATGGTTGGAGTTATGGGAGATTGGGGTTGATGGGAATGTTGTTTGGCTCGAGGTAAATGCATGGTCTTAATTCTTTTCATCTTTGAAGCTTAATTTATGATAAGGGTTTCATTCTTTTTGATCCCTTGAAACAAAGAAAGCTTTAAAGGTTGGATTTTGAGGCCATCCCTTTGTGTGATCTCGGACCAGGCTTCATTCCCGTTAACCTGATCTCTCTCATCATGATGATGATGATGCCTTCTGGTGATTGATTAAGGTGATGCCAAAACAAAACTCTTATGACTGTGTCTGGTCAATGATGAAAAGAAAAACCCTTTGGTCTGTGTGCTTTAATGTTTCAGGCACTGCATGAGACAAAACTTGAACATTTGTCAAATTTTTTGTGGAGCAAGATTAAAAAAGATGCACCTTTGACCTTGTTGTAGTTGGTGCACCAACACTAGCTGCTTTTGTTTGTCATCTTTCTTGTGGCTCCATGTGTGTATCTTCATCTCTTTCAACATCTCTCTCACATGATTTTAATTTAACCATTGAGACTATTGAGATTTGTGCTTTGTAAAGAAGACCAGGCTCCGAAATCTTAATATATTATTGTTTTTCTTGGATTATGATTAGTGAGTGATTGATGTTAGCTTTTTGTTAGTTAAAATAATATGGTTTGAGAAACCCAAGGGACTTTGAAATTCTGTATTTTGTCAGTATAGCTGTAGCATCTTTAGGGTTTGAGATTCCTAGACATCTTTTCTTTCTGTCAAGTTTCAGTCCATGTGTAAGTAGTTGGCTTCATTTTTTCAGGTAACATACTAACTTTCATACATACTTTCCTTTCTCCACACATCTTCACATATATGATCACTTATCATAATTATTTGTAGTAGTAATATTGTTTTTCTTTTTAATTTCATTACAATTTTCATGAGTATTAATTTTTTGATTCAGTTGGTTTTAATTTGGTTTCATTTGGCAACGCTAGCAGGTGAATAGAGAGAAGTAGTAGAAGATGCATGTGAAGTCAAGATGAATGGATCTGAAACAAAATGAGGGGCACACAAATATTACTGTATTTTCCTAATTATCATCTATTTTGACTGAAATTCAAACCCTTAATTAACTACGTCATTAACATGTATGGTTGAGTAGAGAAGATAGATTCACTCATTATTGTCTAGAACTATACAAAGTGAAGCTACTATTCTCGTTGTAGTTCACTTAGACTAGAGTGAGTTTTGTGTGAACATGCATGTCTAATCCAAAAATAACCAAATATAATTAATATGAAAAATTAAATTTACCATTAGACAGAATTGAAAATATCATAATCTAATGCTGCAGATTGAATTCTTAATTTCCTTCGAGTCCATGACCATGATGAGCCTATAGGTACATCACAAGGATGTTGTTACCTTGCAGATCACAGTACTTTTATATTCCTCTCTGAATGCAGGCTCAGAGAGCAGGACCTTTTAGGTGGAAAAAGTTATGGAAAAGAAAAGAAAGTTTAATTTACTTCTTTCTTGTTTTATCTTATAAGGTGATGAAACTTGTGACTCTTTAATTTAAGTGAATGCATGTGTATTATTTTCAATGTTCATTGAAACTAATTAAAGAAGTGAATTATATATACATACATTATACTTTTTAATTAGTTTCAGCTGAAAATATTCGCCATTTCACTTTATTTCACCTTGAGATGTACGGATATCTGATCTTAGCTATATATATATTCCTATCTGTGCTTTCAAGTAGAGGCATCTGAGACATACGTGATAATTGAGTAATCATTTCTTATTATTGTGTCTGATTCATTTTTTCACGCCATTTCTAATCTGATAATTCAAATGTTTGATTCTTTTCTGCACATGCAGACAAAGGATATATATGTAACTGTTTGGATTAGATTCAATTTTCCGAGAATAAATTCGAATATTAAAAGCAAAAACAAATAGTAAATACTTGTTTTTCACTTTTTCAACCTTTCACCATGATTTTGAGAGTCAAAATTGATTCCATAACCATTCAAACACACTACTGAGTATACTAAGCGTGCCCTTAGCCTTTCTTTTTCTTTTCTTTATTAAAAGGAAGTAGGAGAACTTAGTATTGCATATAATGTGTGTTTGAAAACAAGTTTCCTACGAAACAAATCACATAAAAAGCTAAAATATGTAGAGCTTCTATATTTGACATGAAAAATCATACTATATCATTAACGCGTAAGTAAATACACATTTAGATAACTCGAACCATTTAAGAAAATTATGGTTGTATATCTGAAAGAAGTTCTTTTGGACTGTTATTAAATCTTTCACTCAATCATCCAATTTACTCTATAAATTCAAGAACCTGGGAAATGACATACCCTAAAACAGTTCTAATGTTATAAAGAGTTTTTTTATTAAAGACAAAAAAAATTATCTTTTTTTATTCAAACTAATAACTTTGGGTTGTAGTAAGTTCACGATACCATATGAGAAAATTATACAATAAATTCATATGTTCAATTTATTTTACAACAAAGAGATGAATAGGAATAGAGAAAAAATGTGATAAAATAATTAATGTGGTGATAAAAGATATGATAAACGAGTATAATAGATATGCATCGTGTAAAATAATTTATACAACTAACCAATTAAAAATCAGTTTTTGTGTGATTTTTAGAATAAGTATTATCAAAACTTATAAATTTATGTCTTTTATTATCGGTTTCCCTAACCTAACCATCTTTTATGAAAGGATATAAAACGCATCTAGAAAGCGTTTTAATTCAAATTTTCTTATTCAAATGGTTCTATATATGAATAATTTCTTTCGGTGCCTTTATGTACTGATTCTGAATTCTGCATCGAGATGCGTTCCATATGCATTCGATTATATATATAATATCGCAAACGAGCTTTGTAGGCAGGGGAATACTTAATTAAATAATAATGTTTTTTTCCAAGAAATTAAGTGAGGAAACGTGTTTAATGAAACAAATGATGCGTGTGTTAAAATAAAACTTGTTCATCCTCACATTTCACAAACACAAATTAATCTGGTTTATCAGTTTTTTGATTCCATATAAATTATATTTATGAATAAAAAAAATGAAACAAATGATATAATAGAAAAGAAAGATAAATACGAAGAAAAAAATAAGTGTTAAAAAATCAAAATCTATATTTAGATATATTTTTTTTAAAACATACATACATACACAAATACTTTATATATTGCACCTTATTATGGATGCAACAGGGCGTGTCGGATACGAGTTTCATGATCCTCGTTATCGTTGCGGCAACTCAAATCCATCCTCATCCCGTACCCGTACCCGTATCCATCAAATATATAATTTTTGTTCTTATTCCAGTCCCCGTCGAGTATCGGATATATCCGTATTCGTCAATTTTTCTTGTAAAAAAAAATACACAATATTTTTAAATTATCTTTTCATTATATGAAAATTACAATTAAGTTATTTTTCTATCTCATATTTTAATCGAGAGACTTCTTAATAATTAAATAATTATAAATGTTTCGCATTATAACAAATAATCACACATAATAAAATATTAAAATTCTTTAACATAATTAAATCGAGGTGGGTATTAAACCGAGAATGAGAACGAGTACGATGCAGGTAAGTACATATATACCCGTACCCGATGTAATATATTGAGTTTTACCCGTACCCGTATCCAGTCAAACTGGATATTTCTCATAAAAGTTGGGACGAGTTCGAATATTACCCACATATATGGATTTATTTGTCATCCCTACACCTTACCATTCAATTTTTTTTTATTTTTATTTTTTGACACCTACCATTCAAGTGTTTGGCCACACACATACGCTATATATATTGCACATTGCACAGTTCAAAGTTGTTGTGTTTGTTTGTTTGTTTTACTGGAACCGTTCAAAGTTTTAGTTTGCGAAAAATTTTTCTTTAAGCGGGAAGTCTTAAATTTTGCATCTTAAATGTAACAACGGAGAGTTTGAGTGCTTCCCATTTTCATTATATTAAGTTATTAACTCAAATCACAACCAAATATCCTACCCGATTTAATCTAAATTAATTAAATGCTCAATTTAGTATCCAAATATCGATGGTCTATTTCAGAAATAAAATAAAATAGATGGTCAGTCTTAAATTAAAAATAAATAAAAATAAAAATCAACAGAATAGTGTTTTACAAATTTTAGGAACAATTTGAGAAATTGTTTAATATCCATTGGTGATGTGCATTCCTTTTACACGTCTTTCTTGTGTAAATATGACATTTTATTAGTAATCAACTTAATTAAACTCTTATTGAATAAGTATCATAAAAGCACTTATATATAAATTATTTTTATAATTAAAAAGGAAATAAAGCTAAATTGTTTTCATGAGTTGTAGCCTTGTAGGTTTTAAAGATATAATAGAGAGCCTAAATAAGCTGAAAACAACTTTTGGACATATCATAACCTACTCTAACAGGCTCTTTCAAACACTTACACGGGTTATGAATAAGTTCTTCCAAACATATCCTAAGTTGGATGTCCTTAAATTAATTTGTTGAATGAAATTTAGTTACCTTGTCCAGAAAAGAAAATAAAAACTATGCATACACTAAAAGTCTAAAACAAATGTTAAAATATGATATCAATATGCCAAGCATAATTAAACAAGTAAACACCAATTAATTATTTGTGAAATAAGTAAAATTATACAGTGATGTCAATATTGGAAGGCTTAACAAAAATGATTATGTGGTAAGAAAGTATAGTGAGATGAGAGGGGATGAAAGAAACACTCTTCCTTTGAAAAAATTAATTACAAAGAAGGATTGAACCAAAAAATAAATTCATGGGGTCTCGGGGAAAACTTTTTCCTCTAAGAATTTGATGAAACGTTCATCATACATCTTTGGTTCAACTACTGATATAGTCATAGGGTCAAATTGCAGCGATTTGTATGCATGCTCAATTTTCTTTTTCATATTATAGTTCTGCAATATATCAATTATGCCCATGTAGAGCACAACATCATATACCTCAAAAAGCTCTACTTCTTTTGCCTCCTCCTGAAGCTTGCGAGTTGCTTGAGCTGGCATGTTTACTCCAAGCTGCACCCGCAACCTGAGTAACAAAATGAAGACTTACTTGTTATATGAAAAATAAGATCATATGGCGTTATATGAAAAATGTTATCCTTAGGAGTTAGGACTCTGCCTCTAGTTAAGAAATCAAAAATAGAAATTTTATATTGAAAAGTATAACTTCACAATCTTCTGTGTAACTTTAATGTAGTTTTCAATAAAAGCTTTCTACGTATGAAGGCTGGTTAGCAAGACTTATTTGTTATTGGTACTAATAATTTTCTTGCTAATTAACTATAATATATCATAAGTAGTTTTCTATTTCTAGTACTTGATGAAGTATTGCGTATTAAAAATTATCTACATTACATACTATGATGGAAAAAAATCCATGTAAAGGTGAAGGATTAAGATTCCCATGAAATGACAAAAACCATGATATGTAGTCTACTCACGAATGCACGAGAAACCAATTTGATTGAATCATGGAAACTACCTTGCAGTACCAGGCAGTAAAAGATCAACTTCATTATCACCCATGGAGTATGCCCTCAATGTATTCCCTCTAATGTGAGGTCCAGGTGCAGTGTTGACTATGCTTGGTTCATGGGAAACTAATAGCAAGCCTTTAGGAAAAATCATGAGCTCCCCTTCTTTGAGTCCATAGTGGAAGCATAGCAAGATGAAACATCAATAGTTAGACATTTAGAAAGCAAGAAGCTGAGGCACTGATGTAGAAAGGAAAGAATGAGAATCAATTTATAGTGAGCTTTAACCGAGTCGGATGGCGTTATGTGATCTATGTAGCAAACCTCACATGGTGAGATAAGACTTTGTTAATCAATTTTTGTACATGGCAGAATATTCCAAGCAATCTCAATTTCATATTTACATTTTATAGAACTATAAGTAAATTAAAAAAATCATACGTATAAGATGTCAATTTACCAAGATTGTACTCTTTTTTCTTCATAAAGAGTTCCATATCAAATTTTAAATAACTTGCACCAGTAGAAGTATTTACCATCTCCAGAAGGTGAACTCTCCTGATGCTGCACTAATTCACGATGTTCCACGAAGGCCTTCAGATTCTCTGGAGCCCGGAAATGTAATCCCAAAAGAAGGCTGTAATCAATTATATGCTGAGACTCCAAGAACTTACAATC